TAAGCTGCAGAGAAGCCTCACAACTCAACAGCTAAATTCTGCTTTCTTCTTCCAACTATGAGAGAAGCTCTTCTCCGTATGTATCACTAGGTCAAACTTAGTGACCCCATTTTGATGTCAGAAGCCATAAAAATGAAAACCAGTAGGCTAATATAACAACCACCACATTGAACCATAATGTTATCTACCTTTCTATTATACCAGTAACACAAGTCCTCAGTTGTCAGCAACTCTGATCCAGCACAATGCTTCCATTTGTGTTGTCCCACATCCACTCCGCTCCCCAAAAATCATACCAAATGGGACACCATTATGTGGTCTATTAAGAAGTCTGTTCTTTGTTGCATGAATAGCTCACCATGTACTTCAGAGTAATACATTAAATCAACCTGGGCTTTAAGAGAGGCCCAGAACACTGGATTGATGTTGATAATACTCCTTAAAAAAAACAGATTTTTAACTAGATTAGTCATTGGGGTAAGCTCATTAGTTCCATAATTTAAACTCTAGCCATTTGAAATCTAAAGAACATCACTCTCCTGCACCCTTCCTCCTGTGGAAGCACAAGGATATGCTTTCACAGACAAAAGCCTAGGAACATACACATGCAAAAGTTTTGCTCCCAGTATCTACTGAAATTCAAGGCTGCCTGCTGCCAGTGCCAAAGCCTCTTTTCCCCAACTTCTCACAGTATTGTATATTACCACAAAGCAGAAGTGCAATTTTAGAACAGCCATAATCTAATTCTTCACACTGAAGGCCACACAAAGCAGTACTGTTAATGTACGTTTGACTAATTGTAGAACAGATAAATTGCACTCCAAGAGACTTAAATAGAATCACATGATTCATCTGTTTCACAGTATTCTTCCAAATAACATTTTAAGATGAAATCAGTCAACTGCAGTCAGTACAGGCACAGCATTTCTATTTACTTTTATAGCATTTTGTGTTAAAGTGGAAGGCATCCAACGTAAAGCCATTCTTAATTAGGTAATAAAGTATTTGCTAACACATCAACTTATTACAACACAACCTTCATTAGACGTTCATTTAGAATAGATTTTTCTTTAGAGTAAGAAGGTGAATATGAGCATACAGAGGACCAGATACACCTGTTCTTTTACTCCCTTTAACAATACAATTGCAATACTGGCATTGGAACAGATTGAGCATTTTCAGAAGTCAGCAGAACAACAAAAAACATCAGTTATGTCTTTACTACAAATCCTCAACTCTTAACCAGTAAAAACCAAAGATCTGAGATCACCTCTGTTCAGAGACAGGGGAACTCTCATACCACACATTCTCTTTTTTCTCTACCCTTTTTTCCTCATCCTCCACTAAGCATTTGAGGAAAATTTTTAAGTAGGTGTCTTTGTTCTTGTGTTCACCCTTACATAAAGGTATTCTCTTTTTGTGCTTAGAAAGAATAATCTACCACTGATTATCAAACAGCGGTTTGATGACTAAGCACAAAGGCCTCCCATCTTTAGAAACTGGGACAAACAATTTCAGAGGCATACAGAAGGCTGAAAAATACAGGAGCCTAACTACTTACTTGACAGATGTCTGAAGTCAGAGGAAAATATTAAAGACAATGCCTTTGTTTTATCTAGAGGTGCTTTTATTTTTTCATACATTAGTCCTGTATTAAAAAAAACATCTAAACATGAAGTAGTGGGAAGTTACCAAGAGAAAAACAGTTATTCCTTCTGGAATCGTGCTTCTCCTCGCAAGTGAAGTGAGTGGAGTAATCCAAACTGGTAGAGACTGAGAGGCTATACTCTAGGGCCAACCTCTCCCTGAGGCTTCAGGAACCATGACAGCCCAAGAACTTTTCACTACTGAAGTAACTTCTGAATTAAGTTGTACCACTGGGAAAAGCCCAGCCTACAATATAAACTGGAATGCAGGTACATAGCATCCATATGCTGCTGAGGTCATGCTCCCAATTTACTCTATAGAAGATGAGAACAGCACTGCTCATGCTGTCACACTGTTACAGATGGAAATTGCTTACATATGGAAGCCTGACCGCCATTTTTTTAAGAATCATGAAAGCATTAACAATACAGACCTTCTAATAAGTGATTTTCACTGTCTGTGACACATTTGCACCTCAGACCACCCATGTATCAAAGCCAGGTCTTTGTTTCACCATAAGATTCTACAATTGCCTGCAAATAGTAACAAAAACACTCCCATATCAGCAGTGGGCAACAACCACCTCCTGTGTGAGTTCATCCCTAAAACTTCCGCAAAATAGCCTCTCCACTTCTCTCATCCTATCTTAAAACAACTACTGTAAAACAGAAAGAATAGTTTCAGAAGGATCAAATACAGCAGTTAAAAACAAAGGAAATAGTACTTCCATGCTCCAGGCTTTTTCATAGACAGCTCAGTTGAGGTTTTCCAAGTAACAAATTAGTCTAGAATCTTAGTAATTAAGGCATTCAGAGAAGCCTATTTTAGTTTTCATGCTTAATGTTTAACCTCATTTACCACCCAGTATTTGTACAAGTCTCAGATACAGTAAGACTAAAGCAACAACATTGAGGACAGAGGTATTTTCTTAATCCAAGAATCCATAGAGACAACACAGCACACTCAAGTTATTGAACATTAAACGTAAGTCATGTTTCTAGGTTCAGCTAGTTTTGAAGACAGAAGCGTATTGTGTTACTCAGCTGAAGGGTGCCTACAAACAGTCCATGCTCAAAAAAAATAGGGAAACTATCAGAAGCAGGAAATATTAGCAATAAATGTCAAAATTTCCACATGCTTTTAAAAACCATTGTTTACATTTCACTCAGCAATATATCTGTGCAAAATGAAACAATGTTGCATTTTAGATGCTTATAGATATTCACTAACAGTTACAAAAATCATACTTGGGTAGTTGTTTGGAAACAACAGTGAGGATATTCTCCCAGCCTATGAGTTTGTTCTTAATGTTAGTCTCATGAAGGTTAAAAACACTACATGTGTTCTCCAGTAACATAACTGGACAAGAAATTTATCTTTCCTGCCATAATTAAGGGAAACAAATTTAAAAGCTGACATGTTCTTACAGCCTAAGCAAAGGTTTGGATCTTTCTTGACCAGCACATAATCTAGATGTCAGCAACATAGCCTCAATGATTTAGTGACCCATGTCGGTCAGAAAAGGCTTAAAGTAATAAAATTTATGATTTGGGTCAAGTTAAAGCACTTAGGTGAGCTGAATTACTCTCATCCCCATTGACTGCAATACCTACTAGCTGATCTGCCAGACTGCTCTCCTACCTGCTGCACAGAGCCTGATGACCAGTGAGCTGTGTTCTGACACTTACATCTAAGAACCCATATTGAATTGTCTCCTATAATCCTGCTGTAACTTATGCCAGCTGAAGTCACTAGAACAGACAGAAAATCATTAGCTGTGCTTGTTACTCAATTTAGATTTAAGAGTTTAAAGGCAGCATTTAGCAGGTACTTTACCCCCTTACCCAGTTATCACTAAAACACTCTTCCCTCTTTCATATATCCTTGTTCTATGATAGTTTTATGCATTTATCCCTTGCATGACAACAAGCTACCACAGACCACCTCCTTGGCTAGCAATGCTTTAAAGTAACTTACCGCACGAGCTATTGTTACAAAGCCACTTAGAATTCACTCGCAAAGCTACCTGGGATCAACTTTACTATGTCAAAGCCAGGCTGCAGTGGAAGAGAAAGCTATTTTATCAAGGACATGAACTTAAAGATTAAAACCTGTATCAGGAAAACACTGCCTTCTCAGAAGTTTTAATGCTTTGTCTGCAGTTAACTTAAGCTTTAAAGCTTCAACTTTGTTGCAAAATTTTACCTTGATAACAACTTAATACATTACAAGCAGGCTGATTATTCAGTGACTGAAGAAGTGGAACAGATGGGAAAAGCAAATGTACACATGAACATCACACATTGGCCAAACTATCGAATTGCCACTTTCCGTAAGAAATGTATAGAATAAGTCATCACATGATGATTAGTTGAAAGCAAGAAAAAAGTTTAGGAGTTAAATGGTTCCTTTCCTTTGCACATAAAAGCAAGAGTCAAGCAGTTGAACTAACATAGCCTTACTCATATAATTTACAGTCAGTTACAGTTTTAACACTTCTGAATCCTTCTAAGCTACAGAAAGAACTGCAGTAGTTTAGTTGCATGCTTAGGACTAACAAGAATATTCCCTAGTCTTTAGAAAACCAGCCTCTAGACAGTTTCAAATTTTATTTGCTTTTACCTTTTCAGCTATTCCTGGTTTAAGGCACACATCACACAAGATGTTACAGATTCTTCATACCTAAAACTGAATCCTGACATGCATAGATATTTACCCTTACTCAAATTTTAAAAATATAGAACTGTGAAGCTCTGTTAAAGACACTGCTTTTTCTTTTATTGAAAGGACAGCCTTTTACAAAAACAGAGAGTTATTATTAAGAACATTCTGCATACAAATCAAGTTATTTTGCCAGACTTCATTGTAAACCTCTGTAAAGATAAAAACAGTGTAGAGAAGTTGTAATAAAGGTTATATTCAGTATTAGAGACTGGCCAGACCAAGACTAGGTCATTCCATAGTTCAATGAATAAAAAAAGCAGTATTTAGTTTTCCACTGCTGAATGGGGGGAGGGGGGAAAAAAAAAAATCACAAAACACCTAAGAACAGGAGGGGGCAGTGAACATTTGTTACAAGCCATAAGGAATAAGGTTACTTTCCCTTGCAGAAACACACTGAAATTAAGTCTGATCTGTGATCAAGTACTGAAACAGTGGTTCTTCAGTTTGCAGTAAAAATTTATTCCTCTTATTTCAAGAACTTAGTAGTGTTTCAAATCCCAAAAATCCAGAGCTTAGAAGACACTGTTGAAGCTACTGTAGCACGATTACAATTTTCAGTACAAGTATAGTCCATGTTAACTGCAAGTATCATGAATGTAAAGAGCTGAAAAATTTGCATAACGACTTACTGTGTAAGTGATAGCTGCCAACATTCCAATCACAGTCAAGGAACTAATGGAAAATGAAAGAGCAGTCAAGCCATCTGGAAAAAAAAAAGAAAAGCCTGTTGAAAATTCCTACAGTGGAAGTATAAGAATATTTCTTTCTGAATTGATTTCCTGAAGATGAAGATATCCAAGTTCATTAGATTGAAGAAAAAAAAAGATCAAGCTATAGTTACCAGCCATAAATCCTATGAAAAATTCACCTAGCGTAGCTTTGTCACCAGTAGATCCTCCTCCAACACTGCAAGAAGCAGGACAGACATCTCTCCTTCGCTACAAGGTCACAGATGTTGCGTTCAGTCAAATAGTTGACTAGCCACTGATGAACTTACTCCCATAGCTGTCTGTCTAATGCCTCTTAAATACTTATTTCTGGCCTCCACAGCATGCTGTGGTAATTTTCATGATTTACATATGCATTCTGGATGGTTCATCTTTGTTTTGTTTGTTATCTCCTGATTTCTCACAATAAAGCACTATCCAGAAAAATCAGGCAAACATGGATTGTTCAAACAACCAAACAAGCAGACCACAGGCCTCAGCTTCACTCAGACCACATACATCCAGATGTACAAACTGGAAAGTGGTCAGGGGACTAAGGAGTTACTGTAGCCTTACTATCACTCTGGAAGTGAAAAGAGATAGTAGTTTGCCCAAAGGCAAACTCCCTGAATCCTCCTGCATAATTTTTTCACAACTGCCCCATCCCTGACCTCACCATGCAGGACACAACATGGCAAGTTTTTTTTAATTAAGTAGTAGCATGAAAACTTACAGTAGCTATTTTAATAATTAACTTTAAGCAATCAATTTCATGTTTGCACCTAGTCATAGTAGCTGAGCTACTATTTAATGTTCTCCCCTCCCTCTAGTTAATTCAAGAATTTAGAGCACAGTTTTTATTCTTACGCGGAATTATTAGCCAGTTTCCATTCATTAGCTGGTTTCCACTCTTTTTTCCTGTTCATCATGTCAAGCATTCACAAATGAGAAATCCTGTTATAGTTATCCTCTATGAGAAATCGCATCTGTCTTCTGACCAATCCTACAAGTCTTCTTCCGAAAATACCAAAACCCAATAGAACAGCACAACTAAATCCAACTTCACAGTTCTAGTCTTTCCTTTACTATTTTCACTAGACAATGCCAAACAACTTTCCCAAAGCTAACAGCAATATGTTCCTAAGTTTCAAATACTGTAGCTATGTTTAAAACTGGAAAAAAAACAATCCAGCACTATTCTCCCTTTAGTACTTGTGAAAATTTCTGAAGTTTAAGGGAAAAAAAAACCACACATAAGCAACCCTTATTTCTAACATATCACAGTGTACTTAAACACCATATCGGATGATCCTCCTGTACGTGTATCTGAAATCAATATTTAATATCCATTTTAGAAGTTTGAACTATGTTCAAGGGAGCATTAAGAAACTAACTGGCTGAAAAATTGATAACTGTATACCAGAAGGCTCTGCCTCAGTGGATAAGCTTGCATTCCTTTCATAATCCCACTACAAACTGAATGGACATAGAACAAACATCAAAAACTAAGATCTTTATTTCTTCAGTGAACTATAGAAAGAAAAAGGATAAGTTAATATAGAAAGAGGACAACAGTAGAGACAACAGGCAAGACTTTTGTCCTCATTTCTCAGCATCTGGAACACAAAAGAACCATTGGAACAATACTGACCAGGGACTTGTTGGCTGTGGAGAAGCGCTACGAAAACCCTGAGGGGTCTTGGCAGAGAGCAAGCAGAAGATAAGCCAACAGTGTGCGCTGGCAGCACAGAAGTCCAACAGCATCCTGGGCTGTAACAACAGGAGCATGCCCATCTGTTAAGGGACAGGATCATACAGGGAATATTGCAACCAGTTTCGAGGCCCTCACTACAGGCAAGACTTATTAATCTGAGCAAGTTAAGGGCAGAGCTAGGTTGGTCAGAGGTTGGAACATATGCTGTGCAGAGAAGTTAAGGGAGCCAGGCTTGTTCAGCCTTGAACAGAGACAGCTTTGGAAGAGACCTAATATAGCCTGCCTGTTTATCAAAGTAGTGGAGCCCAGGCTTTTAAGTGGTGTGTAGCAGTTGAGTGTCAGACAGCAGGTGACAACATGTATGTCTGCACTGAACAACGAGAAAATTTGTTTTTCCACCATGAGTCTCCCTCCTTAGGGACTTTTCCAAAAGCTACCTGATAAAGCCCTGAGCAGCCTGTTGTGACCTTACAGCTTCCTTCTTTGTGCAAGAGACTTGTCTAGATGACTTGAGTTCTCTTCAGTCTGAACTATCTTATGAAATTAAACGTCACAAAAGAACGCTGGCAGAGCCATAAATCAAAACCAGACTTCCACATCTCAACACAGCATCTTAATGATTAAATCTTCCTAGAAATAAATATCAGCTATACTACACTTCCATAGCAAGGACATGTACAGAGCTGAATATTTAACTGACAGCCATATCAAGGTAGCCTGGAAAAATGAGCTTACATCTCATCTCAACCACTGTCACTACCTGTATAAACAGTTTTAGCAACATTTTATTCTATGCTGTCAGAATCTTTGTGAAGTATGAGAAAACAAACAAGCAGAGTGCCAAAATCTTTAAAACCACCCCTATGGACTTGTCCTCCCTATCTTTTATGGTTGCAAGCACAGCTTACAGTACAGAGCACAGTATGAGTAAAGACTCTGCAAGGATGTCAAAGACAAGAAAGGCTTTTCCCAGTGTGTAAGAGGCAAGACAACAAGGAAAAATGTGGGCTGCTGCTGAGTGGGGGAGGGGACCTGGTGACACAGGACATGGAAAAGGCAGAGGTACTGAATGTACCTTTCTCAGCCTCGGTCTTTACTAGCAAGACAAGACTTCAGGAAACCCAGGCCCAGGAGACCAGAGGAAAGGATGGAAGGAAGATGCACCCTTGAAAGAGAATCAGGTTAGAGAACACTTAAGAAAACTGGACAAAGTTGATGGGCCCTGAAGGGATGCACCAAGCGCTGACAGAGCTGGCAACCGTCATTGCAGGGAACTTTTGGTCACTACAAAAACGCCTAGACTAAGGCAGAACACAACTTTACCAAGGCTAGTAGCATTATATTCTGAAACATTCAGATAAAAGCCAATACTGATACATAACAGGAAAGAAGCGCAAATATTAGAGTACTTATTTAATTGGATTGTTTGTTAGGTAACTTCTAGTTGCCATTTTTCTGGATACATTTGGAAAGTGGTATAAAGTCTGTCTTGCCTCACTAATAAAACACTTTCTTCACACCTTTGCTCTGAAAGTACACCCTAGCTAAATATATGAGCTGCATAAGCTAAAGGTTAAATACAACTTCATGGAATTTGGCCTTCACAATAGTTCTTAAGCCCTAGCATAAAGAAGTGTAACAAAAGCAAAAAAAAGATTTTAGAAAAGGTCAATACTAGGAGAACAAATGGAAAAAATCATAACACCCATAGGATTTTCGTGTCTGAATAGACAAAGCTAGTCATGAAATAGTCTCATTCTTACAGTGAACAGTAACATCACATTTAACTAGGTAAGCACTTGAAAACTGTCATACAAGATACACACTCATCATACAGGAGTTGATTGATTTTAGAGTAACCAAGTAACATTTAAAAGCTATGTTAAATGAAGGCTCCCTGGCAGAAAGTACTTTTCTCCCCCCCCCATTAATATCATAGGACACAATACTGGAATCCTCACTGTCAAATGGGGACTGTACTGAAAGACGACACCACTGGTGTCTCCTCTGTATTTTAAAGACTGTTCTGATTTTTTTGTCTGAACATAGAAAGCAATCTTATTGCAAAGATTTAGTGTAGGTGAGCAGTTAGAAAACTGTGACCAAATTAGTCTTCTTGTTCAGTCAACGATGAGTATGCCAAAATAAGTTAGTAGGAAGTCATGCAAAGCTCAACAAATCTCAAACTTACGACTGCTTCCAAATTCTTCAAAGAGGAGCTTCACTTTCTCCCACTCTGTGGAATTCTTCTTGTTGGGAATATTCAAAGGAACAAAAGCACTGTAACAAAGCAAAGAAGTGATGTCACTTATCATAATTAGTCTAATATCAAAAGAATTCTACTTCCAAGTTAAGAAAACAGAAATCCATTTATTCTTGAAGAAAAATTATATGGTGTCAGGTTTAAAAAAATTCTGAAGGCAATGCTTTATTTCATTCACATTCCCCTCAAATGCTGTGTTTAAATCAGCAGAGTACGTGTGCAAGTGTGTGCAGAGTCAGGTCTGAGGTCAATGAACAAGTGATTTTCTATTTACCAGCCCTAACAGAGGTAAGGACCCTACACTCAAGCATCATTAAAAGATGTATTAATCTGATTTGCTGTCCTAGTTTGACTTGTGCAGAGGAGCAAAAAGACTTTAAGCATCAATTGAGACAAATTCTCTTATAAAGCCACGCTTCTGGAAACTAGAATAAAACAATTAATGATTCCCACACCAAGCATTAATAAGAGTTTAAAGGGACATGTTTATCTTCCATTATTACAACTATAATAACAACACACCTTCTGCATTCCTTTCCTTGTTCTGTAGTTGACTCAAAGAACTGAAATGCAGAGAAGTTAAATATTTCTGACCTTCCAATAAGCAGAGACTAGCAAAGAGTGCTCAGAAGAATGTCAGGTAGAAGTCCCCTAGCTGACCTCCTGCTATCAGTCTCCCTATCTGAAGCCCAATAATAAGGGTAACTTCAGCACCTTCTTAGACAAAATAGCTTTTTGTAACAGTTGGAAAACCAGTACCTCCCTACCAACCTGAAACCATAGCTTCTAGACATAAAAGAGAATGCCTACAAGTCACAAGGAAGTCAGATTTGGAGGGAAACTTTTTAAGTAAAGAATGTGAGAACCCAAACCAAACTCCATAAAGAATGCTCACAAGTATCTTTTGGACTTTTGTAAAAAAGAGTACATAATTAGACCCCTGCTTCAAGTCCCAATAAAGAAATGAATAACAAATATGCATCTTCCAGGAGTATCCCTCAAACTTCAAGTACTGAACATAAGCATGTGTTTTGAAGGTTAGCGCTAAAGTAACTCTGATGCTGCTCCTGCTCAAGTTCCACATACCAAGGGCCTCAAAAAGAAATGCAAGAGATAAGATTCCTGCTTGCTTAGGACTAAAATGCTTGCATTTATTTCTCTTCTTTAACAGGGTCTCTCAACTAATAGCAAACTAGTCAGAAGGCTAACTCATTTGATGACTTTTGACCTCTAGCTTAACAGGCCACAAGAAGAACGAGGGAGTTAGCAAGCCTAGCCATCTACGGCTCTGCACCCAGTCCACACTTTCAAAGGATTTCTAGAACACAGCCCATCTATTGCACCAGCACAGCACACAGCAGTTCAGACCTCTTCTTCATGCACATAAAGCAAGAAATATGACAAAAGTCTTTGTTGTTTTGCTATGTTGACTACACAGTCAACACAGCCCGAGAGTCACAGTAGCCATCAACAGAATGAGAAGTTTCCATGCTAAGTAACTCCATTCACTTATCACTATGATGCAACACAAGTCAGTCCACTGACACTAAGTGAATAAGAGCACAAGTGCCAATGAAAACTTTTACAGGTGTAGGTGAAAATTCAGTTAACACAAGCAAACAGAGCAGCTCAGCTGTGATGCTGTCTTACACTTGGAGTTCTGGACACATAAGAAGTTATTAACTGCAGTAATATTAAGAATAGAAGCAAACTGCTATGCTATTTAAAACACATCCTGGGAATATTATTGTCATGGTTTAGCCCAGCCAGCAGCCAATCACTCACTCCTCTCCCTCAGTGGAGTGGAGAAAAATGTAACAAAAGGCCTGAGGGTTGAGTTAAGAGCAGGGAGGGATCACCCACCAACCATAGCCACAGGCAAAACAGACCCAGCTTGGGGACAAATCAATTTAACTCATTACCAGTTACTTCAGAGAGGGTAATAAAAAAACAAGATCTTAAAAACACCTTTCCCCCATCCCTCCATCCTTCCCAGCTCTACCTCCTCTCCCCAGCATCCACACAAACCCAGCACAATTATCATTGAGATCTAAATCAATATCTTGGCTGCAGAACAAGGAAAGTAAATGCAAAATAAGCATTTTAAAACTATTAACTTTTGGCAGGGCTAGTAACACAGGTGTAGATGGGTCAAGTTTGATCCTTAAATTGAAGGGTGTCATTAACTGTCATCCTTAGGAAAATAATTTCTAATGCAATAGATTTCAACTAATTTCCTGAAGTGACTTCTGCTATAATATAATTTGCATAATTATTTACAAGCTAATCAGAAATAAATTCATAGTTTTTTAAAAGCTAATGGTTCTAGAAAATTTAAGGCAACCAGTTAAACTCCAAACAAACATTGATAGGGAAACATTCCTTTTAGAACCAAATGTTTGTTAGCCTCAAAAGCAAATATTTTCGTTCCAACCAGACTGCTCTATAAGGGTGCCTTGATGTGGACAGTGTCTCAAGACTCTGGGCTCCAGCACATGACATTTAGAGTAAATAAGCTATATTCAAGGAAAGCAGATAATTTCTGAGAAGGGAAAGGCATCATAAGCAAATATTAGTTCCAAGTATCCCAGTATAAATTGGGCCCATACTTTGCTTTCAATGATACTCCGCATCAAGTTATCTGTGTGCGGAGCATTTAAGCGCTATTACAGACATGCACATTTGTGCCACAGCAAGAGGCTTTGTAACAGACAGCTAGAATAAGATGTATAAATATTACTCCTGCTCACATTTTAGACAATGGAATTCTGCTCATTGAGCTGCGTTATCAACTTAGAAAAAGCGTCTAAGATCATCTGGCACAAAACAGATACTGTTTCCCTAAATCGTCACATAGATCTCTAATGGACCAAGGTAAACATCCAGGTAAAAATAAGATATTCTTAAACTTCAAGCTTAATTGAGCTTTCACGGTTTCTTTGAGGACTGCTGACTAGAAAAGAGGTAGGGACTTCTTGTGCAGACTATCTTTAAAGGAATCAAGCTATTTATTTACCTGATTTAATTATACATATTACTTGTTAAATTAAATCAGAGCAGAGGTTGTCTTGAGACATTAGTCACATAAGCGCTTGAAGAAGATAGTCTATTTGCTAAGAACTTCACAGAAAATATTCCAGCCCTTCTTGCTCTTGTAACCTGTGTGCATGAGTATTCTAGTCCACTAAGCCTCACCTCTTAAAATTAAATCCCGTACATAAAATTCTAGTCTGTTTTAATGTTGGTCTGATCCTGACCACTAGTGAGAAAATCTCCGGCTACTGCCAGGTATAGGCAGTGCTGCAAGACTGATCTTCACTATCACATTCAGGTGAACCCCTCATGAGACTTCGGCTCCAACACTGTTTTATCTCTTTCCTATCACACTGGGACATCTGAGGCTGCTCTTTGCCCTGGTTGTGCAGACAGCTCACTAATGCCAAGACAGATAACTCCTTCACAACAAGCATGTACATAAACATTTAGACAATCGCTTTTTATATATGTTTAAAAGCATAAATATATGTCTATTCATAACTATACTAGAACCAAAGGACTTGTCCAAAGCATTTGACACTGTCCCACATGACATCCTTGTGTCTAAACTGGAGAGACACGGATTTGATGGATGGACCACTCGGTGGATAAGGAATTGGCTGGATGGTCGCACTCAAAGAGTTGCGGTCAACAGCTCAGTGTCCAAGTGGAGGCCAGTGACAAGTGGTGTTCCTCAGGCATCAGTTCTGGGACCAGTGCTATTTAACATCTTTGTTAGTGACATGGACAGTGGGATCGAGTGCACCCTCAGCAAGTTTGCAGATGACACCAAGTTGTGTGGTGTTGTGGACACAATGGAGGGAAGGGATGCCATCCAAAGGGACCTTCACATGCTGGAGAGGTGGGCCTGTGAGAACCTCATGAAGTTCAACAAGCCAAGTGCAAGGTCCTGCACATGGGTCGGGGCAATCCCAAGCACAAGCACAGGCTGGGCAGAGAATGGATTGAGAGCAGCCCTGAGGAAAAGAACTTGGGAGTGCTGGTTGATGAGAAGCTCAAAATGAGCCGGCAATGTGCGCTGGCAGCCCAGAAAGCCAACCGTATCCTGGGCTGCATCCAAAGAAGAGTGGCCAGCAGGTCAAGGGAGGTGATTCTGCCCCTCTATTCTGCTCTTGTGAGACCCCACCTGGAATACTGTGTTCAGCTCTGGAGTCCCCAGCACAAGAAGGACATGGAGCTGTTGGAGCGAGTCCAGAGGAGGGCCACGAAGATGATCCGAGGGCTGGAGCACCTCTGCTATAAAGACAGGCTGCAAGAGTTGGGGCTGTTCAGCCTAGAGAAGGCTCCAGGGTGATCTTATTGCAGCCTTCCGGTACCTGAAGGGGGCCTACAGGAAAGCTGGAGAGAGACTTTTTACAGGGGTATATAGTGGTAGGACAAGGGGCAATGGCTTTAAACTGAAAGAGGGCAGATTTAGATTAGATATAAGGAAGAAATCTTTCACTCAGAGGGTGGTGAGGTACTGGAACAGGTTGCCCAGAGAAGTTGTAGATGCCCCATCCCTGGAAGTGTTTAAGGCCAGGTTGGATGAGGCTTTGGGCAACCTGGTGTAGTGGAGGGTGTCCCTGCCCATGGCAGAGGGGTTGTAACTAGATGATCTTTGAGGTCCCTTCCAACCCTAACCATTCTGATTCTATGATTTTTCTTCACCAGTTACATCATTTGCTTCTTAAACTGAGCTGTTCAGTTTTGTAATTTCCCTTAAAGGGACAGACAAGAATTATATTCTTCTGCAGCAGCATCTGAAGTAGCAAGAGTGCTTTTCCATTCCAAGGTCACTGGGATGCTGCTGGTGTTTAATTATCACAATCTTAAAAGCAAGTAAGCAACCTCATACATACAGCAGCAGAAAACACTGTTCCATTAGAACCCAGAAATACTAAAATTCCTTTCAGAATCTAAATGAGTCCTGTCTCTCTGCAGCAGATACTCCTGCTATTTACATGTTTCCAATCTCTACCTATGGAGAAGCAGTTCAGAAACTAACTCAGTCTCAGCCCAAGTACTACAGCTGTCCGGTTTGCAAGTCAGTCTCACTGTCATATGGCACAGTATCAGAGAAAACTGTGGAAGCTGCTATAACTTAGAAGTCGCAAAAACTTTAAAGAAGTCATCTAAGAGCACAGAGGACTATTAGGAAGTCAAGAACCAAGTTCCATCTTACTGGAAGAAAGGAACAAACATCTACAGCTGCTGAGCATTCAGCTAACATCTACTGCAAAATTTTCTAAACTGGATATATTATACAGTATGTATATGTACGCCCATGATGTGAGCCAAGAGAGAACCAGGTTTTGTCAGAACCTTTGGTAACATTTCTAGACCATGATTAAGCTAATTCCAACTCCTTTAGTTTCTCGTAATAGCAAATATGCTACTTTTAATTAGAAGGACAATAGGATTCTTAGAAATGTATCTTAAGTGTTTATCAAAACCAGAAACAATATTCCAGTAAGGTAGTATACAAGTTAGAAGCATTAATTTCACTCTAATTCATACTTCACACTCCAGTACTTCAAAATGGATCATTTTAGCATACATGTCATAAATTTTATCAACTTGACTGCTGCAGTCAAAATGCTAAAAAGCTTATGACATAGCATACATTGCACACATTGGTGTGTGTGTCATGCTTAATGGTGATCTTAAATTGAATTTGTAATACTGCTTGGAGTTTCAGAAAAATAGCACTTGCTGCAAACAAGCGACCCACTTCAGTAATGTCTGTCTTTCAAACAAATGCCAGTAAAACCTTTATCATACAAGGCACAACTAAGTATAACCCTACACTATACTTATGCCCTTCACAGAATATCTCCATTTAGGAAAGTACTAAGCATGTGACACCTACTCATATTCTTAAAAGCTGTTTTATGATGTCCATGAAAGCATTGAAAGAGGCAGAAAAGAGAAAGAACACAAATATTTCACTCCCTGGTGTACACTGAGATACCAGTACATTCGTAAATAAATGTCATAACCATCATGTCCTTGATGGACATTCATACTGCACAAACAGGCAGAACTTGGAAGCGCAAGTACCTCCACAGTTAAGAAAACCATTCTAGCTTCTAGTTAAAGTCCTACTTTTCAGGTACCTAATTCTCAGGATATTTAAGCCCTATTAGAAATTAAGTTAGATATTTACTACAGATTTGAGTGCACCATAAGGTACCTTTTAATCTTGCACAGAAAAGTTCTGTTTGGGGCTCTATTTAGTATGGCCCCTGTTAATGTTCAAACCATAAATACTTACCCAATTAAGAGAAGAACTGCACAAACTGTGACGAATCCCAGAGTATATTTGAGTGCAATTTTAACCTGCTGTATATTAAAGAGAAAGTTAATACATTAACATAAAATATATCCAAAGGGATCTTTCCAATAAGTTACGGTAAAGCATACTTAGCATAATAGGTGTTCTACAAAAGAACCTCCACAGAAAACAAGAGCAATTTTAGATACAAGTCAGAAGTATACACTCTTGAAGAGTCTCTGCTTCAGACCTATGAACAGTGATATTGAATTATGTTTCCGTCATAAACTACAAACTTGAGCATCTGTGGCCAGAAGCCAGGGTACATTCGTTCAATGCAGATACACTCAAAGGAAACTGTTACCAATGCTTTATATTATGGCTATGATTAGAAGTCTTTTTTCCATGGCAAGGTTACAATTGAATAGAGGGGAAAATGACCATGATCAATGATTAAAAGGTTCTTTAAGAAAGGTATTTTCATTTAAGATAGCACCTTACTGGCATGCATTTATTGTATTTCCTGGAATGTTGTGCATGTCAAAAACCTTCAGGGCATTACAAAAATAATCACGTTCTAGCTCCAGGTAAATTACTACTGCCTACTTCAAGAAAAAATGCAAACACTACAAGGAACATACTCAAATTTAGTTTCTAATCTCAGAATAAGTATAATCTTCCTGTCCTTAAAACCTGTTCATACTCTTATTTTAAGGAAAATCTAATGTAAGAAGTTTTAACTGTCTGTACACGAAATCAGGTTCAAAGGAAATTGCAGCACGCTTAAAGAATTCACGGCAATACAGATTTCAATTACTTAACTCACTAAAGTTTCATTTCATGTGAGACCACAGTGCTCAGACTAGACTATGTCAGATTAAGAGCTCCCTCAGTATTTTAAAGGAACTGTAGTAACAGACTTCAAAATGCTATTAACAACGTAGCATTCAAGTTAGACAATCATTCTTGCCTGTATTAATTTGTCTTTTCACTGCTTGGTGCATTTGCTAGAGCAAACTTACTGAGCATGTGTTGCCATCATCATCTTCCTTTTCCTCGTAATAGAAATAAACAAAGGGAATCCACAGAAAGACGCAGAACAGTATGATGGAGTACAAAGCTAGGAGAAAGAATTCAATTAAGTGAAGAGACAGTTACATTGGCACTTCATTTACTGCGTAGTAATTCAAAGAAAGGAATCCAACATCCGTTTCCTCTTATTCTAGCTCTTACTAATTTCAAGCACTGAAAAGCTCATAAAATTTACTAGTCAGCATATGAACTATTACCGTTTTGTGAACTCCAAAGGACTATAAAATTAACCCCTTCAGACTAAGGATTTCACATCAATTCAGCAATGATAAAAAGACTAAAAGTAATCACCTGTATGCAGGTGACATACAGGACGAGCACTCTGGGGAAGAGGTAGCATAGAAGATACTGAATAAGAGCAAGCTATGCCACTTGATGACACTTATGTCAAGTGTCAAGCCAACTCCTTAGAAATTTGAAGCTAAATATTATCCATCTCCTTTTGTACACTTGTCCCTCAACTATCAAAAAAAGTGCTTCAACTCACCAAAAGCTTACTCAGTAGTAACAGAGTTAGTTTAGAAATTACCCTAGCAGTCAAAATGACTGACTTCTCTTCTGAGTTCAAGTATTACAAAATGCCACTCAACTTCAAGAGAGCAAGAGGAAGCTTCTGGTCTTTACTTCAAAAAGCCAAGCCACATCTGACCAAAGGTATATTTATTTTAAATCAGCAAGATAAAGTAAAAGAGTTAGTTTCAGGTAATACTTGCAGCATAGGCAGCCAACAGCACCTTGGGCTGCTTTAGGAAGAGTGTCACCACCAGATGGAGGAAGGCAATTATTCCCCTTGACTCAATGTGCCCTCACACCAGCACTCCAGAATTGGAGTGCCATGTCCATTCAGTTCTGAGCTCCCCAGAACAAGAGACACACATACTGGAGAGTCCAGCAAAGAGAAATGATGATTAAGGGCTTGGATCATCTGCAGGAGCCAGAACTGTTCAGCTCAAAAGCAGCTTTGGGAGAGATCTTATCCTGTGTATAAATACTTGTGTGGGACTGAAGACTTCATCAGACTTCCCAGTGGTGCCCAGGGAAAGGATAAATGAGCACAAACTGAGATACAGACATTTCCATTTAAACAAGAACTTCTATTCTACCTGCAAACAGAAACTGCAACAGCCTACTCAGAGATACAGCAGATTCTCCATCCTTGGAGATTCTCAGAATCCACTTGAGACTGACATAAATAAGCTGCTGTAAATAGGGAGTATATTGAACTAGGTTATCTCCAGAGTTCCCTTTCCAACCTCAGCACTTCTGTGAGTCAAAGTGAATTTCTACCAGTCTTGAAATTTGGGTTAGCACACCACAAGCATCCATCAAATGCCAACAACAGCCCAAGCAGGGAGGCAAAAAGCACACTATCATGCTGCTGGAAATAGGACCCCTTCTAGCACAAGTAATGCAATTCCATTTCAAGAGAGCATCTAGCTTTAATACTTAAGTGATACTTCTCACGCTATTTAAGTTATTGACTACAAAAACTGAGCCAAGTTAATTTCAGGTGCACCTAAAGCTTTGTTTCTGCCAACTCAATTGTGGAAGTCAGCAAACCTGTAAAGCTATAGTGGTTCTCCTTGGGGGTTATTCAGTTGAAGACCTTGGCAAACCTCTAAGTAGAGACTAATACCTTCAGGCAGTTCACAAGCCTGTCAGGTTGTCACCTCCACCAAAAACACAGAACAACTGACTTGGGTTGCAGTTTTTAGTCCCACAGACATTATTTGAAGCCATTAGACAATTCCTTCAAATTTATGCTTTAGTAAAAGAGTGAGGTTCTCAGCCAGTGCTGACTTGTAACAGATGTTTTGTATTAAAAACCCCAAGCTCTAATAGCATACTCTATCAACTCTGAGACAGGATCTGCATACATAACAAGATTCAGCATGAGACTTATTCCAGAATTTTCCATCCATCATGAATGCTCTGCTGGCACTTAGTCCTTAAGTTCCTTCACATTAAACGTGCTCTCTAGAAGTTACAGGCTTCCAATGCATTTCAAGATAAGATTTAACATTACAACTTGAGGGTAACTATATTTACCTGTAGTAGCATAAATTCCAACTTACACTTACTATAGCAACAGCTCTACTATTTTCTCTGTTGAAAAACCTTGTTACCATAGTAACCTTATAGGACTGTAACACAGGAAAAAAGTGAATTTAAAAACAGCTTTACCTTTGCTTTTCCCAAGCGAAATTAGTCTAAGACAGACCTTTGTGTTCATCCATCAGGTGAAGTCTTAAAAGTTACTGTGATAATTTTCAGTTAGAACTCAAAATTAAATTTACAGCTCACATAGTTAAAGTAGTAAAATATTGTTCTTCCTGTTATACCACAAAGGAAACTTTAAAAGTTTTGGCTAAGTTCTTAACAACAGGACAGGACACTCATCTGGTTTTTGAATTTTATCTTTTAGAACCTATAAAAAAAGGAAGCGCCGCACCTATCATCAGCTCATACAAGCCAGTTACCCAAAGGTAACACCTAATTGCCTGTTGTTCTGCCCACTAAAAGGGCTGTTTATTCCCTGGAAAGTTAGCCTTCAAACTCAAAGGTCTTGCAGCAGCAAACAGCCAGTCAACCAAGTGACAAAGCCATTCCCTTCCCCTGAACTCCCCTGTGACCTGTGGCATGATGGACTGCCTCAGCTTTCATCATTGCACTTCTGTGGACTTTAGTTTTAAAGCAAGGACTGCTCTTTGCTCTTGTTCAGAGGTCTTTTGTTTCAAAACATTTTTCTGGGTTGTATCAGAAGCTTGAAGCACTACCACTGGAAAAGTGTTTCTCTGTATAGCCAGTATAACAATGGTTCCTGCCATAGAGTCTACGCAATCTTCAGAAAGAATCCCTAGGTAAGGTTTGTTTGTTTTAAATATATTTCTTGAAGAACAATTCTCATCTCAAGTCAAAATGATTCATTTTCTGCTGTTTTGTACCATATTAATACAAAGAAACTGCATGAACACACATCTTGTTTTTCCCAGTGAAAGTTAAGGAATACAAACCAGTACTAAATTTCAAGTCACCATCAAACACTTGTTTGAAGCAGGACAGTCAAAGTAGTTCACTATAGTGTCAATACTATATCAGACTTTCAATTTATGTTCTGGCACATTGCTTCTCAAAAATCACACTTTTTAGGAGAATGTTTCTACAGATGTAACTCCACAATATTTGTCAAACACACCTGCGCAAGTCCTGCACAGTATTTAGTATGTCTTCTCCTAGGATCAGAGCATGAAAACATGTAGCTGCATTTGTCTCACACCTACTAATTACTAGAAGCCCAAGCCTGTGTTAGCAACTCAGTATCAAAAACTTGCAGTAAGCAGAAAAAACTCCATTCAAAATAATCCAGGTTATATCAGGTATTATTTTGGATAAATTCTTACTCAAGAACTTTAACCTAGGAACCACAATACAGTAACTATTGCTGACTTGAAAAAAATGCTTCTACTTAAGAAAAAGGAAATGGAAAATTGGAAGCTTTAAAGCACACCCAAAGAGATCTTCATAGCATTTAGCAGACAGTTCTTGCCACACCATAGCTCAGATACACTTAATAGATGCAGGTCAAGAGATCTGTCTACTTCACAGGAAGACTGGGATCTACCAATGGCATCTTTTCACCATTCACAAAACTTTACTGACGGACACTGAACATCAAGCTGACTCCAACAGATAGGATTTACTTACTAGAGGAAGAAGAGCTACAGAACACAGCTCCAGGTTACTGTCAGTTGTTTCAGCCTGATTCTTTGTGGTACAGAAGAAACTGCTGTTGGACAGCTTCCAATTATAACCCTTCCTGAAAAAGAGTTTTCCTTCCAAACACAAGCTGACATGCTGTTTTAGAGCATCTGCCAAGCACCAATCATTCTTCAATCACTCAAGCACTGGCAGACACATTCTACTACAGCTGGTTTTATGAAAATTAACACACTAAGCCACTATAGCTTCAAAGCAATCAGTAGACTGGTTTCCTAAGTAAAGCTTTTAGGCTACTGAAGCCCCACTTCAAAATACAGGCATTTCAAGTTTCATTCTGAAAGTTACCTCATTTTTCATTCTACCAGCACAAAGCCATTCTACTTTTGTATCAGTGCAGCCAAGAAATCTGCTTGGTATGAAAGAAAGAACATTGTTCGTGGGGACTAATGATTTTGTAAAAAAGCTTTTCTACATTTAGTGACAGTTTTCTCAGTGAATTGAAGTATAAGTAGTAAAGTAATCCCTAACATTCTAAAATATTAGTTAAACCACAGCCTCTAAATTCTTGCTACAATTAGAAGTGACTTGGGATAGTTTAAAAGAAAAAAACCACAACATGCCAAAACCAAATACTTTTATAAGAGGATACCAGTAGAAAAAAGAATAGTATTATAGGGCTGGAAGAGTTGTTTAACTTCTTCCTTCTCAGCTTTCATGTCACTATGCTGTAAAACAGCAGCAGGGGACTAGACCTAATGATGCAGGAGAGTCATTAAGTTCTGTTTTTATATAGAAATGATGGAGACTCCTGGAAAAATAAGTTACCTATTACTGTTCACTTCAATGTAACTCTAGCTATAAAAATGTACATCAATTCCTCAAATTAAGATCACGAAAGAAAAATACTTTTAAAAGCATCTTTAAATCTCTACCACCATCTGGAGGATATGCTATGAAATAAAACATTAGTCCTATAATATTTCAAGTGGACCTGTCCAGATAGGACAAAACAAAAGCAGTTTTTTAGGTTTAAGCTCAAATCTATTCCAAAAAAATTAGTTCAGGACTTACCAAGAGATACCTTGCTTCAAAGAGAGACTCAGTTAGCCCAAAACACCTTACAGAAATTAATCAGTCTCAAATCTAAAGAAAATGGTCCACGGAAGAGTTTGAAGACAGTTCCACATTAGGAGTTGTGAAACACTTGGGCTGGCAAACAAGATCTTAGCAGCCTAACAAGAGTAAGAAGCAAATACAAAGCAACTCCACTATTCTACAGTGAAGAATCTTTGTGGAAGATAAACTCATATTTAAAAAGTTCCTTTTTGAAAACAGAGAAGTCTATTAATACTTTTGGCTTTAGGCTTCACTCCGTATGAAACTGCACATCCTAGTTTATGTCACTATAACTGGCAGGTAATAAGTATTCTGTAACTTCACAAGTAAAGTGCACTATTTAGAATCAATTATTTCCTGATCTGAAGATATATATTCAAAAAGCCAACCCACAGTCTTCCAAGAGAAAAAACTTCAAGTCTTAAGAAACATGACCAAAAGCAGGTAACTAACCTGTTCATATCATTGAGTGAGGCAGACATTTCACTCAAACCATGATAAGCATCACTTCTATAGCTACATCTTACATTTGTTCATTAATTCATAAGTTTCATAAGGACAACTGAAATAAACTGATGTAAAACCACACAGAGGTTTGGTGAACAGTTATTTTATGAGATTTGATTTCAGTTCATTTTTTGCTTTGATTTTGTTTAGCATTACTACTCTTGAATCAACTCCTTTGCACTCCTTTACAGCAGCTTTTACTTTGAACACAGTAGTTGCTGAATCTGAACACTTAAAACACAAGTGTTACTCACAGTTGCACAAATTTTACACAGTGTAGTCAAGTTTCACACTGCTGCAGATGTCAAATGTCACAAAAGTTACAGCAAAACCATGTGTTTACCTTAATGGGCCTCTAAATACACACACAGGAAACACCAGACCATACAACAGTAGCCAGAAGCCTTTTGAAATAGTCCATGGATTGGACTTCAGTTTATTTTCATTTTTAGGGACTTTTGAACATAAAATTCACTAAAAGGCACTAAGTATAAGACTAACATTTAACTGAAAAGGGATAATCCAGTATGATCTCTAAAAACTTCATGCCTTCACTTGAAGGACTTGTTAATTAAAAAAAGTTAAAAATACTTACTGTAGTATCCATAAAGTACAGTGTCTTCTATTTGTCTTGAAACATTAGCATCAGCCCAGTCCTAGTAATAAAGGATAGAAGCATTTAACATGAAACGAAACAAAAGAACACTTCATTAAAAAGCATTCTTATAGAACTAAAAAGAACTGTTCTTATCAAATGTCTAAGAAAAAGCATTAAATACTCGGCCCATTTTAAGTGTTGAAATTCAAATTAGGGCTAATTCAACTAACAAAGATGATTAAGGAATGTGCTGCATTTCAGGGGACAGACACTGCAGTAGTACCTCCACTGCTTATACTCACTTTGGCTGTTTGCCTCATCCTGAAAGCTCTATTTATTTTTTTCTTAGATTAAGAATCCTTAGTTACCATGCATTATATTGTCAACACACAATTGAAGCAAAATTATTAGTGAATACCATTTTTAGCAGCTAACAATTTAGTACATTTATTTTGGCTCTGTACTTAGTATTTAAGTGGCACTCTAAATACTTGTTTTTAATGAAGCTGATTTTTGGTTTCTACATATCAGAAAACTCAGCTACTGAGTCTGAAGCTCGATCTGACCAGTTTTTCAAAATGTTCTGTAAAAAGACAACTGGCATTACAGCTATTTGCAGTTCTAGCCCTTTTTCCTAGACTCTGAGCACTGCAGTAGACACTAAGCTCCAAAGTCAAGTCCTTGCAGGGACAATGCTGTCTTCACAATGAGTTTTCTACAAAAGCCAACATACAATAGGCTTGGAAGCAGCACGGTACATTAGAGAAGACTGCACAGACAACTAAGCTGTACCAGTTGCCTACCTAGTCCAGTAGTTGGATGTGTTGGATTTAATTTTATAATTAACACATTTACATCTGCTTTGCAACTCTCCAGAAAATGTGCATGTGCAAAGTATTAATGGAGAGATCAAGTCAAGGATTCACTCATTTTGAAGTCAATATCTCATAGAATCATAGAATGGTTAGGGCTGGAAGGGACCTTCAAAGGTCATCTAGTCCAATCCCCTGCAAGGAACAGGGATATCTCCAACTAGA